TATTCTTTAATACTGATTCAATTCTTGCCTTCTCGTGGCAGGGGTGTTGTTTACGAAAATGAGAGGACAAAAAGCGAATGTCCGGCGCTTTAACCGGATCCCAAAACAATGGTGCACATGGGCTCCAGGATCCTAAGGAAACAAATGGCGTATGAACCAATCGTTGGTCACCGGTTACCATGGGACTGCATCTCCTCACGATGCTTCACTTCCTTGTGGGTCAGACTTTTGGGTCAACGGCTCCGGGTGTAGCCCCCTAAGAAAACTACCTGCTTCGGTCTGGGCACCCGAGCAGTATCACAGCCCACACACATAAAATTTTGTGTGGCTCATATATATTTGGTGCCCTCTTGTACCAATCTTTATGTGTTCAAATAAATAAAAAGTAAACTTACAATATGGCTGCTAGTCTGAGAGACTAGACGTTGTGCGCACTTTGTTTTAATGTTAGTTGGGCGAAAGTAGTCGGGAGGACACTCTGAACCTAGATTATGTACAAGCTGACACTCGTCAACGATGAGTGCCTTCAATCTTGGGGGAACTTATAATCATTTTGAAATTCGAACCATGGTTTGTGCTAAGCTAAGCCACATAAAGTAAGTCAAATAAATGAGATAGTTCGTGAAGTTATTTTTTGCTTCATTTAATTGTTTTAACCTTACAACTGAATAAGTCCAACATACTAATTACTGATTTCCACTTATGAAATATAAAGTTCTACTTCATTGAAGGTAAATTATGCTTCGTTTTTTCATATAACTCTGCTGTAATAAAATTCTAACATATTTGTACGTGACGCCAGTGACTAAATTATTAGCTATGAAGTAGTGAAGTAAATTTCTGATTAAATCAAAGTCACTATAAATACATAGTGCATTATATGAAGTACTAAATTTATGATCATCTGAAACAAATCTTATTTATATTGATTTCAGAAGCAGACTTGAAAAAGATATTTACAATTACAAATAGAAACAGAATGAACTTATTTAGTTTAACGTTTAATATCTATTCATTAAGTTTTAGAGTAAACGTTTAATTAAAAGCTAGTAGTACCACACATAGTTCTGATAATCTCCGTCTTCTTATTACATTATAGAAACCCTTCAGTCTGTTTGAAAAATAAAAGATTTCGTTAATCGTTCCGCAATATGAATTAATATTCAAAAGCTAATTCTTAATATTAAGCACAAGTCTATTAATGAGTTGAGTAATTAACCGGTCAGAAGAAAATAATTATTGTGAATAATAATATTGCTAATGAGTTTTAAGCAGTAAATAGTGAAGAATTCAGGACTGAGCTTACTGGGAGAATGAATATGGTATAGTTGTAATAATGTAACATTTTTATGAAGCACGCATAATTTCGTGAATTGTATTATTAAAATGAAATTTTTTTCATTAAATGTTTGCTATCAGTGGAAAGGGTGTACTTTAGTCTGCAAGTGAATGCATCCATGCATAATTTTTGTACATAAAAATACTTTTGTGTTCTTTTATCGTAATCGTTAGCTCAGTCAAAATACGATTTTTTTAGGTTTCAGCTAGAATTAATATAAATACAGCTGTAATGTTTTTAAAATTATAGTGTACATGTTAGGTAAAACGGAGAAGTATAAACCCATAACTATGTAGAATAAAAAATGTACTCAGAAGGAAAATTTGTCAGTTAATACCATTTTTATATTCTTATGTAAGTATTGCGTGGCAATAATAGTTTACATCAATTATAAACAAAAATTTAACAGATATGCTTACTCATCTGCTTCAATCCGTTATTGTAATTCTCCTGATCTAAGACTATTTTGTACAACTGAAGTGGTGAGTTTGGATAGCCAAATTTTAATTGATTGCTTTATATAATGGCAAAAGATTTAACCCACCAATAATAAATGTGTCAAGTTAGCTTAAGAATGATCTAACACTCAATATCTTATTATATACCAGCTTAAGCAAAACTTTGCTTTAGAGTTTTCTCAATTTAATTATCAGACTAGATCTGTATAACAAAGTTGTTGAGATGTTGACATATTTAGAGTTAAAGATGGTTATAAATTACTCTTCCTAAACTCCCAACTTCCATAGAACTGGTCGCGAGGACTATAAACTAAGGAACGAACCGTATAACCAACAAACATTTAAGTGCAAACTTTGTTTCGAGTTATTCCAGAGAAATTTAAGACCCTCCAAGAAATCGACAAGGTATGTAGACATCAAAACATTACCACACAACAATACAGAAGCTAAACTTTGGAGTTGTTATTTGAAAGGATTCACAAATGACAATTATGGGCATAAAAACTTACAAAAATTTAATGAAGACTGAGTAACAACTCGAATAATGGCTTTCAAAATGAGTAGTCTGTGAAATAAAACTTATTTTACTGATGGTATTGTGAAAAAACACAGATTCCTTATGTTTTTCTGATAGGGATGTAGGTCACTTACTGAAGCTACAAACCTCAGTTGGATTAAATTTACAAGCCACGCAGTAAACATACTGTAAAATTGCTCATTTTACTTGATGTAAGTTCGGGACAAAAATGTATACCGTTGGGCGCTAATAAATTAGGCCAGGTATAAGGACGTGGGAGTCTTGACCAAATCTATCCTGTTGGTATTAATCTTTTGTTGTGGACAATAGGATCTGCCTGATTAGAAATTTGTGCCAGCAGTGTGATTGCATTTTACAGTTTATACGGATATACAATAATTTCAAAGTAAACGCCATAATGTATGAAAAAAATTTACGTAATAGACAAACTTAGGGAGTACATTGAAATGTTTTTCAATAATTCTTTCAGTAACAGTGTTAATTTTTCTCAGGGTCTTAAAATGTAACTAGTTAAGGCTGCTATCCTGTACTTACTGAAAGGATGGTTTAATTGATTTAAACTGGGATTTTGGTTTTATTCGTTTGCCCAGAATAACCAGTTATAAGAGTGAAATAATGTTCATTTCGGTTAAAGATAGCATATGTCACTGACTTTTGCCATGTTTTGCCAAATGCTTCTTGATAACAAAAACCATGATAAGACGGCGACAAAGGAGAGCTTATGATTATCGTAAATTTCCGACCTCGGTTTTCAAGTTTTGATACACTACTGGCAGGCAAATGATGATTTTTGCTTGTTTCATTTGATTATTACGAAGCGACAATTTATTTCAAAGTAGTTTGATAGAAAACTAAAGTAAAGTTGTTGTGGTTTTGCTTAAGACTCTTTATCGACCAGATTTTCGTTCTTAATTTAATGATTTAAGAAGTAAATCCGAAGATTTTTTTTATTTTTTCATGGTTTTCACATACTTGCATAATTGAATGATTATGTAAAACCAACTAGTACACAAAAACCACAGAATATTGATCTTAAAGAGTAGAAAACTACGTTTCAGTACTTTCGGGATATTGAAAACACTATATAATGTATATATTGTGTTTTACTACGGATTAATTATTTTCTTGCAAACAAAGCACTTTTTTACATCATGATTAAGACACAAGAAAACAAATACATTTATTTTGTGGATGGACTACAGATCATTCGGTCATAGGCGCGTCATGTATCAAGTGATCAGTAATAGAGATATCATATTATTCTTATCACATTAGTAAACGATACTTAAGGATCTTTATACCTGGAACTTTCTAAGGTTAATGTGAGTAAAGAAATATGTGTAAAAGTGGGATTCAGAGTTTCAGAACAGCTTAACAATTGTTCATAATAACGTTTAATATTTCCTAATTTGTGAAACTGATAGTTCTTATTTACCAAAAATATCATCAGGAAAAAGCTTGCTATGTATAATAAACCAGGAAATAACCTTAAAAGTAATACGCATATTGTTTGATCTAAGTAATAAAATAAGTGAAGTGGTTTTTATTGCATAAAATATCTAATACTTGGTGAAAGGTTGTTCAAAAGCATTCATATCTAACTAAATGACATACCTTATGCATGAATAACGACATGAAAAATTTGGTTTGATAGGACTTCTAGTAGTTTAAAACTTTATACCTCAAAAACACATTCATATATATATATAGTTTGTTGAATAGTTAACGGCTTTTATTCATTTGGTATGGATTGATGTTATTATTATTGGGTTCACAACTCAGTCCCAATCGTATTTAAGAGGTACTTAGGTCAGACAAAACTAGGCTAATATTAGTTATATGAAGGGACCCGATAAGTATTCACGTAATGGATCACTTTTCAGCAGAATACCGCATCTGTGAATAAAAACGTTGAGAATGAACAGAAGGTTTCAGAACTTTATCTAAAGATCCAAGAATTATTATATCGTAAAACATTTATGTGTAGGAATGATGGCAGAGCTGAATGTACGTTATCGTCATGCAGGGTCATTGGATGGTGCTTCAGATTGGTGTTATCAACACTGATGGAGATGGTATTTAGTGTCTTCCTAAGGTATGTCTGCCTAAAAGTGCAGCTCACGTTGTAAAACATTAAGTTACTCGACCGACGTTTTGGAACGGATGCATTCGAATGAGAGACTCTAAAGATTGAGGCAAAATGCTTTTTAATATATATATATATATATATATATATATATATATAAATGGAGGTAAAAATTAAGAACTAGTTAAAACTACATCAAATGACATTTTAAGTAACCGAAAAGAACATCCTCTCAGTCTTTCGTCCTTTAAAACCCAACGTTGCTCATTTTAAATTTATAGGCTTTTAATATGAAACAGAAATTTTTAAAACCTCTCAATTAAGTAAGAAGCTGATGCTTATCAAGTAAGCGAATCTATCGGACTAAGCTACAATAAATATAACGTTTAACTTTGATCATATATAACTATTTTTACTTCATTAAGTTCAAGACCAACAAGAGTCACGACTCTTATAACCGCTAAAGTACCTCAAATACTAAACTTATTTACTCGTTTTATTTTGATTTTATGGAAAGTGACTTCACGACTATTATTATAGTGCAGACATATCATATAAGATCTTAATAAATTCACCAACCTGTTGAACACATACATTCAAGTTCGAAGACGGGATTGTACATAAAAATTGCTTAGCGTAGCGTAAGTGCACTTGCTCTAGTTCTTCTGGAGTCATACCCCACTTCTGGAACTTTTCTGGTATTCTAGGATCAAACCTTCACAAAAATTAGTAAAAAGTGAAAGGTCATACCATGTGGTTTCTTGTGTTTGGTGATTTAGAAAATATACTTGATTACTTTCATTAATCGCCATATCATATCCAACGGGAAGCTCGCTTATAGCAAACGTCATGGTGGGTCCATAAAGTAGTGCAGTTTGTTGTGAGTTTCTACGGCAAAAGTCATATCAGTATATAGGAAGATGTACCTTTGTCCCTGGAAAAATCCCGGGCTGCACGAACCAGAAAAAGCAAACTCTGGACTAAGGTCCGTCTTGTATTTGGAAGCAACATCAAGACTTTTTTGATGGCTGTGATTAGGAACATTTGCTGAAACAGACGTTCTAAGTGCAGCATCCAAACAGGCTGGAGATGAATTTGCTTTACTATGGAACACCACAAAATCTGCGGCGTTTCTTTCATTGCTGTGTACAGAGTTAAGTTTGGAAAGTCGAGAATTGTCATTCACATCTCCAGGTGGGACGAAAAAAGATTTTGGTAGATTACGTTGATGTAAAGGAACCTGTTGCCTCTGAGAGGCAGGATTGAAAAGTTCTTGAAGGCTGCTGTTTGGATCTTCTAGAACGGTCACTCGGACACTTGGAGGCTTCCTAGAATCATATCCCTCCATAGCGAAATATACCACGATATCAGAACACAAATATTGATTAACTCAAATATTTGGTGGGTAATTAAAGTATTGAGTGAATGATTTAAACAAATAATGACCGTGTTAAATCAACTTTTTGAGCAGGTCTTGTGCATAAAATTAAGAAAGAAAAGCATCTATTCTATTCTTTTTGTACATCAAAGAGTATTCGTATAGTTTTTCAATTATTTTGATTAAAGAGATAAACCTTAGTGTTTAGATTTACTTTTGCGTACTATATTTCGTTTGGCTTCCTTGGATGACTGGCTCTTGTTCTAGCCTCTTCATGTTTTATTCGGAACCGAATTTACTACTGATATGTCAATTACTCTATGATGAAAGCAATCAATTGTGATTTAAGTATACTCAGTTTTACGCAAACGAATAATGAGTACTCCTTGGTTTTGTTATCACACACTCCCATCGCAAACTCAGATATCGTTGCTTTGCTTCAACGTGACCATTATGTTGTTTCTCAGTAGTAATTACATATGGTCAAGTGGATTAAGTTATTTTTACCACTAAGACGATGCAAACTTTCTCTGGGCATTTCAACAGAACTGGCTTATACCAAGTGTTTTGTTATTACATAAAATGTAGAAAAACAAACTTGCAGACACGAATGATTTGTTCTTGATTCTTTTTCAGATTAGCGGTCTTAGATGTAAGAAATAGATGAGATGCCTTAGTTTTAGATCCATTATTCTTTTTAGGAGATTTTGGATCAGATTGGGCATGTACTAGAGACAACGGAATCTTACAGCGCTTACTTAAAAAAACAACTGAAAGTGATGATGGTTTGGCAGAAAGCACATTTAACTTTGAACAAAGTTGGAAAAGATTCGGTTCCTTAAACCACTCCCTTATGTAGCAGAAGCTCTTAAGACCGGACTACATAGTCATCTGGCAATAATCGTCGATCAGTTTTGGATATCACCACTTAGTCGGATCGTAAGAAGCACTTGAGCTTACTAGCCGGAAGTTTAAAGTGAATGATCTAGATTTTTCTAAAATCCCTACTTTTCCACGTTTAGCAGTCTCTATTGTTTTACTTTTGTACTAGATTTTGGCATGTTGAATGAGAAAAATCATATAAAATGTCGTATTTTTATTGTCTCCTATCACAGTCAAGCTGAATAATGAGAACGAAGAATGTCTGTACTTGTTACTACTCAAAGATTATTTTTTAACCCTTTAAGATTCACATCAGTTTTACGCACCAATGAACACAACGCGAACTAGTTCATTGGTAAAAATGCCACTTTCAAGTCAAATAAGACAATCACTACATAATTTACTAAAGGAAAAGTGGAATTGACCCTATAATCGTCATTAAAGTTCAATTGTTTTTAGATAATTTTATGAGGTTGAAGTAACGTTTATTCTAACATTTTTCTCTTTTTCGTCTAGAAATTGCTTAATTGACGACTTAACTCTCAGATTTTCGATTCACATTTCCTGCATATTTCAACCGAAATTCCCTTAGTCCCTCAGTTATTTTCGCATAGTGATAAGGAATATTGGAAATGGATCATTATTCCTAAACAAAGTTGAGATGGGATTTTACTGATTTCACCAAAAGTAAACCAGCGAGGGTTTTCTGGGAGAATAAAATTACCATTCCATTAACATTTTGTCGTGTTCAGTTTTCTTAAAATTATTCTGACTCATAGGCATAATCCAATCTTCAGAAATCAATTTGGAACAGATCTTGAGATTTCCGAAACCAAAGATTAAGATTAAGATCAGCTAGACCATCGGAGTTGAATTCATAAATGATATTGAATACTGAATCAGTAAACGTTACTTGCAGTTCGATAGGTGCGGCTTTTGGCTAAGACTCACACATCTTCATGAGAAATTCCATAATCCTTATTGTATCCTTGGCTTCTTAAGTAGAGTTCTGTTTGGTCAGAGGTAATGTCAAGTGTGGTTTTTCCGTTACCAATTGATAAGTCTTGCCACTGACAAGTTTAAAAGTCTTCACAGCCGGTTTTGATACACCCAGCAACTTCTACACATAAACTGAAGAACTAGAGATGAGGCGCGAAATGCAGATAAAGGTTTTACTTCAAGGCTACTTTATGAACGGAAAAAAGTTTGCATACACCTGACCTTGAGTCTCTGTAAATTGCTTGCTTAATACGGCAGCAGTCAAGACAAATATCCAACTAAAACCAGGGCACATAATTCTGTGTTTTCTAGATGCTAGTGTGAAGATTCTGTTTAAAGCTGGCTGGATAAAGTTTTCTAGCATTTCTGGGCTTCTAATGACTTCGATGAGAGATATTTTCGGGACCACTCCAACGGTTACATTCTTAGGTGCTTATGCGCATAAGCGTACAAGATTTTCTGACTGAGTTTTCATCAAAGACGAATAAACATTTCTAAAACCAAGTGTCTTTGCCTGGAGACTGCAGAGTTCTACTTAAAACAGAACATCGACTCGAAATATACTTGTTTTTTCATTAATAGGTATTCTGTAATTGTTAACTCGGTTCTATATAGTGCCAGCTGCCTTCCTCATATCTTTGATGCTGGTGGATGCCTCTCATTCTCTGCGTTGAAATAAATCATACTGGTGGATGTGGTAGGTTTTATTCAGATTGTGGAGCAGAACATTTGGCAGTTAAAGTCATAATTTTAAAGCGCATTAAGCTTTCAGCATTCGATATAGGACAATAGGTAGTATAATGCCTACGCAAAATAAGGAGCAACTGAATGCTTCAGCTATAGTGTTTTGGTACTATCAAAATGTTTTGTGCCAACTACTATCCACACAGCCTAAGTTGTTGCAGTGAGTTGCAATCGAAGTGAGTGCGTTTGTCTCGCGGCAGTAGAGTTTCTAAAGCAGGGGGCCCAGCTTAAACTGTTAAATATCATCTACACCAAACCAATGATCATGTCCCTCAAGACTAGAAAGCTTTGATAAGTCGAGGTGCACATCAGAATTAACAGTTAGGCAGCAGTAGTGCGTACTAACTGTCCTAAAAGTTAAGGAGTGATTTATTTTGAGACTGTTAACTCTTCCGGTTTATTGTATATTATTGGCCATATGATGATTCTTCTAACTAGCTTCTTCTTCATCAATAATTCGTCATCCGTACTATTGTTACCGCGGAGTCATAATAATAATAATTTATTCTCAAATAACAGCCTGCTACATGAGGCATGCCAGTCTACAGGCAAGATCAAATAGTTACGAAAGATACAGTCTTCACTGTGGTAGGTTACTCAGTTAGTATAATATATTATAAGGTACACTGAACATAAAATTATGGAGGATAACACTTCTTGCATAAGAATGCAAATAATGTTAGCAAGATCCGTATTGTCAATATGACAGTTGGTGCGCTTTGTGGAGGTTGCTTTGCAACGTGCAACTCATAGCCGGGAGTACGTCCACGTAAGTTTGAGAACTTTTATAAACCATGACTTTATATTCTTATAGAAGATCTGAAGCATTAATGATGGCATATTTCGAGGGAGCCGATAAAAAGAGTAAGAAAAAGAAGGGACAAAAGTATCGCAGACAATGTTCGATGCCTATTGACATTGAGTCATTTGTTGTGAAACAGATAAGGTTTGACTACTTAGTTTAATTTTCTATTACTGGGTTACTTTTGAAGCAAGAGCATTCTGGTAGGTCAAAGAAAGCAAGTGTAGATATGGAATCAATGGACAAAGAACTATATAAATTGAGGTGGTTCAAAAATTATCTGAAAGTATGACATTATGTTAGATTTTAAAATATTATACTGAAAACAGTATTCTGATACGCAAATAGCTATCCCTCCTTTTAGTCAAAGCTATTTCAGTTCATCTTTATTTCTGTGGATTTTCTAGGGTAATGAGCAGTCCTCGTTTTTAGAGAATTGTCTAGCTTTGCCTGTGATAGGATTACTCGGTAGGAAGTGAAACCAATTCAACGTCAGAAACACGATTTAAAGAGGTATTTTGCGTAATGAATTAGTATCAGTATGATTGGTTCGTGACATCTCACTTGACCATGAGGAGCCGCAACTAGGCAAAATGCTCTGCCCTGCAAACATGGGTGGATCGAAGTTATCTCTCCACCATCATATTTGCTGGTCAGTAGCGCCACCCTCCCCCCTTTATGGTGTTAGGCTCTCCTACATTTGTGGTGTGTACGTATATTGTTTTAATCTAAGCTCCTTGTTGGAATACACTGTTACAAGCAAATCAGGTGGTTGAAGCATCTGTATTGTGGGTTAGATATTCATTTATCGTGTCACACTGTTATCATTTAGTTATATACATATTATTGGCACTTGGGGTCCGTTATATTTATGATCGGTCTAGATATTAGGCGGTTCATAATGAGGTGCCTTATTAGTGGGCGGAAGTTCAGGGATTAGTCGGTGAAACACTTTAGTATCAAGTAATAGTGTTATTAGTCTTTTGAACTTCCTGAGAATATCACAGTTACGGATTGGTGATGACAAGCTATTCCATAATAAACTATACCACACAGCAAAAACTTATAACGCAAATGTTTTCGGTATTTTAATGTAAGCAGTGCATACGCGTTATTTCTCATTCTGTAAACTGGGACATGGATCACGGTTGAGCAGGAACGTGAGTCCATATACCGCCTGAAAAAATCTTGATTCATAAGTTCTACCATATATATGTTTAAGGGTAAGTTGACGAGTTACCTTTGTTTCTTCAAAACTTACTCTTGATCTAGGGTTCCAGAACTGGTTTGTCTTACAAAGATAACCTACTATTGTATATTGTAACCTCTCGTGTGTTTAATTCTTTAAACTGTATAGAAAAGTGACATGAGGTACCAAACAAATTCTCCCATCCTGTTTTCTACAAGCTCCAAATTTCCTCGTTACGTCTTTTTCAAGATCGGCAGAACAACGTTCAGTGAATCCCGTCCCCGACAAGGTACTGTTCTCTCATGGCCGCACATAAAATCCACTTAAAGCATAAATAATCGTTGTGATTCAAGA